TTTCCCCTTATCTTAAAATACTGAAACTTCTTGGGCAGGGGAGTGGGGGAGAGGAGGGGAAAAATCCCGAGACTTCTCTGCTGCCTTCTTTTTTAGGCCATTTGTGTTAGTTAAGAGGAAAAATGTCTGTCTACAATTACTATACAAAGAGGGAAAAATGAAATTCTACCTTCCCTTACTATCTCACTAAATGTTCTTCAGTAATTAACACATTTTTATATACCTGACTACTGATATACGCAAAGGCATAATCTTACTTCTCTAAGATTTTTTTTTCCCCTCAAAGTTTTGTCAAGGTCCTCTAACTTTAAAACCCTGAAGATGCTTAAAAGTGATCCCAAACCCATCTAACCTATACCACGAACAGTTAAGATTGGGATTTCAGGGAAGACAGCTACAAATTGAGAAGACTAGTATTCTTTCCACTCTGCAATGAGGAGTGCTAGCTACCAGATCCTTTAGAAAACAGAAGAAGAAAAAGTGAACAGACTAGATTTGGCTAGAGAAGGAAAGGAATTAAGGATGTGAATAAAATTAGGAAAAGAGAAATCAATAATTCATAATTCTATAATAATAATTTATAACTGCTTATAATATTCAGTGACTCCTTAGAGATAGTTAATGCCACTATTAAAAAAGATGCTATGATCAGCCCAAATACCACCATACTTTTCGTAAAGTGGTCAAACCTTGTATATTAGCAAAACTAAAATTTGGGCATTGATTTTTCTGTCTAAAAAAAGAAAAGAATGTTCGCTTCATAATTTCAAATAGATGACATTCTCCTTCAATATCTTTCACAAACTGTAGCTTGCTTTGTCACTTCGTCTAAAGCATATTCTACCAAAAAGGTGTCTCTATTGCATTGATTTTTACCTATTATAAACAGTCTAGAAAGTACTAACTAAGGGTTCTTTTGGGATGAAATATGATGGAAAGGATGTGCTATTATTATTATGAAGTACTACCCTATGCTATCAATGAAATATTTAAAACACAGGTACTATAGATATTTGGATAACCAGAAACAAAAGAAAAATTAGGGTATATAAAGGGAGATAATTTTTCATAACCTTACACTGGTTAATTAGGCCATTGGAATGTCTTACTAAAGACATTATTATAAATTATTAATACTATTATGGAGTTTATATTTAAATATTCTAAATATTAGCTGTCTTGGGTACCTTTCACAGTTTGGGTCTAGGGTTCTCAGAACAGTCCTAGAGATCAACTAACTTCTTCTTTTTTTTTTCTTTTTTAAAAGATTTTATTTATTTGACAGAGAGAGATCACAAGTAGGCACAGAGAGAGAGAGAGAGAGGAGGAAGCAGGCCCCCTGCCAAGCAGAGAGCCCGATGCGGGACTCGATCCCAGAACTCCGAGATCATGACCCGAACTGAAGGCAGAGGCCCAAACCACTGAGCCACCCAGGTGCCCGAGATCAACTAACTTCTTATCAGCTACCATGATTATCATTCTTTTCTTTTTTTTTTCATGATTATCATTCTTAATAGTTCTAATAATGTTGGGTTTCATTGTTATTTGTTATAATAGTTATGGACGCAAAAGCATTTTGCACTAATCTCAGTGATCTTACAGAGATGGTAGAGAAAGAATATAACCAAAATATTAGATCTATGGTGATAGAAATGTTCTATTTTTTTTTTTAAAGATTTTATGTATTTATTTGACAGACAGAGATCACAAGTAGGCAGAGAGGCAGGCAGATAAGGGGAAGCAGGCTCCCTGCTGAGCAGAGAGCCCAATGCGGGGCTCGATCCCAGGACCCTGAGATCACGACCTGAGCTGAAGGCAGAGGCTTTGACCCACTGAGCCACCCAGGCGCCCCAAAATGTTCTATTTCTTGATTGGGTGTTTGATACACAGGGGTATACACTTGTTAAAACTCATTGGATTGTACACTCAAGATCTGTGGATTTTATAATATATAAATTTTACTTTGATAAAAAAATTTTAATAGAAAAATAAAAGAAACATTGCCTTACAAAGTTGATACATTGGTGTTTCTATTTATATTCATTATTGTTCCACAATTTAAAAATATTAAAATATTTTTAAAAAGATGTATTTATTTATTTTTTGGCAGGGGGAGGAAAAACAGAAAGAGAGAGAGAGAGAGAGAATTTTTAAGTAGACGGCACACTGAGCACAGAGCCCAATGCAAGCCTCAATCCCACAACCCTGAGAGCATGATCTGAGCTGAAACCAAGAGTTGGACACTTAACTGACTGTGCCACACAGGTGCACCTAAAATATGAATATTAAAGATAACACTATTCTGCAACTGTCCTGTATGTAACTCCTGAGATTTTAATGAAATATTTTCATGGCTTCATATATCCTCATGTTTCTCAGAATATAAAGTAAATTCCTTCATATATCCTCATGTTTCTCAGAATATAAAGTAAATTCCATCTCAAATATATTTTTGTCTGTTTATTAAAGTATAATTTACATACATTAAAATGGTCAGCTTGAGGAGATCTGACAACTGTATACTCTGATGCAACTACCACACAAGATATAGAACATTTCAACCATTTCAGGTTTTCTTATATACCCTTCTACTGAGTTTCCACTTTCTAGTCCATAGGCAACTACTTTCTAATTCCTATAATCATTGATACCTCTACCTATTCTTGGGACTTCATATAAATTAAGAATGTAACTTTTGGTTTGGGTTTGTTTTTGAGATCGTCTACATTATTGCATGTGGTAGTA